CCCGGGCCAGCGCCCGCCGCACCGCCCGGCTCCTGCAGCCCCCGGGCGCGATGGAGACCAGCCCCAGCCCCAGCCCTCGCCCTCGCCGCTGCTGGAGGCAGGAGCCGCACCTGCCCGCTTGCCTCTTCCACCTAGTTAACTAATGCCCCCCCGGGCTTGAAGGGTGCAGCTGATCGGGATTTGTTATTCTTATAGTGGTGGGGTCAGAGGTTGAACACTGAAAAGCAGCGCTCCGGGGGGGGGGGACACCGCGCAGTCCCGGAGGGCGTGCGGGGAGCCGGGGTGACCACAGCGGCCTCCCTGGTCGAGCGCAGGGCCGGGGCCTCGGCGGGGCGAGCAGGAACAAAAGGGTGGGGGTGAGATTCAGCCAGACCGTCCGGAGCAGTTTCTGGAGGGGGAAGTGGAGGGGCTGCAGCCGGGCGCACCCGGGTCTCCCTCTGCCTGCAGGAGGGGCGGGCGGGAGACCAGGGTGTCGGTGAAGCTCGCCACGTGCACGCCCGTGGTGACGGCTCCGTGGAGGAGCCGCCAGCCGAGGTCCCCAGTGGGTTGTGGGACGAGGGTGGAGTACAGGAGCCGGACCTGAGGAGCTGCGGATGCAGCCTCGTAGGGCAGGCGTTCTTCATGGCTGCTGTGCGGGTGGAGGAGACCGCGGGGCAGGGCTGCTCAGATGGGGCTCGTGCTGCCTCAGGCAGGAGTTGGACTAGACGTGATCTCTGGAGCTCGCTGCCAGCTGCATGAGGGGTGCAAGGGACCTCGGGAGGGCATCTAGTCTAGTCCAACGTCCTACTCAAAGCTGGACCGGCCCCCACTAGATCATCACCTACCCTGGAGGTTTTCAAGAGGAGACTAGACAGTCACCTCGCTGGGGTCACCAAACCCCAGCTGTCTTCCTGCCCCGAGCAAGAGGGCTGGGCCCGATGATCTGTGAGGTCCCTTCCAGCCCCTGACAATCTATGAATTTATGAATCCCAGCCTGGGCTTTGTCGAGCCAGGACTTAACCTCCAAGGATGGAGATGCCACCACCTCTCTAGGTAACCTGCTCCAGTGCTTCACCAGCCTCCTAGTGAGGGAGTTTTTCCTAATATCTGACCTCAACTTCCCTTGCTGCAGCTTGAGCCCATTGCTCCTTGTCCTGGCGTCTGATTGATTGTATGATTAAAAATAATAATAGGTGGCTGAGAAACAACCAACCCAACTGCAGGCCTGGGTCTGTGCAACTTCTTGCTTCATCAACATGGGCAAGCAAGGCTTGACTTGGGTGGGGGATAACTTTTTCTGCTTATTTTTGACCTGTGAAGTCCCCTGAACAGCCATCCCAGGGCTGGGTGGGGATCACAGATGTGAACTGGGATTTTCTATGCCCTTAACCAGGAGGGAAGAACAGGCATCATTAACCTCAGGTGCTCAGCAGCTGTGAGGCAGGACTCAAAACTTCATGAGACTGTTTAAAAACAATATAGGTAGAAGGTCCTTTTAATGGACCCCTTCTCTTCTGAGCCTTCAGGTCACACTTGCTTCATGTTTCCAAGCATTTCACGGCATCCGTGAGAACTAGAAGCAAGTTTCCTTCTTAAGTACGAAAGCTGCGATTCTGATGCATTCTCTCATTCCCGCAGTTGGCAGCTTAAAAACAAGTGTAATTTATAGCAAGACTCACAAAACAAACCCATGTGGTAGCTGCACTACAAAGAGACACAGGCAACAAGTTTAAATCTGTCTGAACCACAATTACTCCCCTCTCAATTAACGGAGGTTTCACCTATGTGATGAATTGCCCATCACCAGGCCTTCGTTCTCCAGCCAGCCAGGAAACCTGTAATAAAAAATATGGTAGGCAGACCTAAATTTTTAATGATGATTTAATCTAATTAAATCATGTTTAAATAATGTATTGTTGCTATTTAAGTATTTTATACTTGCCTTAGGAGTGCCCAAAGATCCCAATCAGATGAAGACTTCCATTGTGAGAGGCACAGGTCCCATATAAAAATGAGTAGGGAAGAGGAGAGTCTTTATAAAACACACCCCTTCTGGCTGCCTTAAGGCATCAGTGTAAGCAAAAAAGGGCACAAACCTGATTCTTTTTTTTCTCTTTGCAAGTTATGTTTGCGAGCCAGGCAGGCTGCCAGCTGGTTTTCCCATGGATTGCTTACAGCAGATGGCTGATTTCCCAGAAGTCCGCGTGGCAGGAAGAAGAGACGGGTTTTAGTGTAGGTATATATATATTTTTAGTTACTTGTATCCTGATGTGGCCACTTGTCACCCAAAGACTCAGACACTGGTGAGATGTGTATTATCCACAGGGATGAAAACAGATGGAAAGTGGCAAAATGAAGCTTGTAATGAAGGCAAAAGGGACCACATTAGGGTCAGATGAGCAGGATACAAAAACGAATTGGTCACTGGAGTTGTGGAAAATCATGCCCGAGGACTAACATAATTTGCCTTTGGCTTTCAGTGGCTGGAATAAGTGGTTTTAGACAACCCAGACACATGGCTTGTGGCACAAATGTCTCAAGTGCTGGGAGGAAATTGCAATCGACTTCCACAAAAAAAGTCAGTTTGCATGTCTGAAACTTTTTGGGACCAGATTCTTCGCACAGTTACGCCACTGCTCCTCTACTGCAGCCAGCGGGTTTTAGGAGGGAGGCAAGACCAGAATTTAGACCAGCTGACACAATCATAGCAGAGCCCCAGTGCTGCCCCTGTGTACTACGTGGACAGAATGGGGCCCTTGAGGTCCCAGACTCACTATTTATCTCCTCCCGCCAGTCGCATCCTTTACTGCACCTTTTTTTCCTCTGACAGCACAATCAGGCGTGCCATACGAATGAAGTCTCAAGTCACCAAGGAAGGTGACAAAGAGCTCGTATTCCTACTAATATTTGGCTGCCCAGATACCATGATGGGCTTTTGGAAACACAGATAGTCATAATAATCATAACAAGAAGAATAAGCAAATGGAACTGGTAGGTTGGCTGTGGGAATTCAGTATCAATACTATTGTGTAACCACTAAAGGAGAGACTTTTACTCTGCCACAAGTACATTAAACACTCTTTATTATGACTCAAAACTTACCAGGAGGATAAAAGGGTTGCAGAATAACATAAATCATGCATCAAACAAGACCTAAAATGTCAATCTCAAATGAACCTCCAGTTCCTGATGCTGGCATCTGTAGTACAGATCCAAAAGCAAAGAAAGTGTGTTAACCAACGTATGTATTAGTGTAGGAAGACTGTTAATGACTTCAGGAATCCAGTCCCAATCAATATATATAATGAGATGCTGTTGCATGAATGTCAATGCAATTTAGTATACGCTGCCACTGGAAATACAATTAGAGCTGGAATATTTTTCCAGCAACTTGTTCTAAAATACCTATAGACAATTAAGAGCAGAAGCTATTGAGTTGCACAAGTATAATAATGCAGAGCTGACATAACCCTAGTCTAGACTAGGCTTTATTATCCCTCTTGCCTCATTTCTACAAGAAGTTACAAGGGGTGGATCAGAATGAAAGGAAAAATAACACAAAACCCACAGGAACATTAGCCTGTATCTACCCTTTATTTGCAGTCTCAGAGCTCTCCACACTCCTGAGATTGCAGGCTAGCAATGAAGCTAGTGCCAATTCCCCAAGCATTATGAAGCCTAGACTGAAGTCAGAGCAAATCTGAGGCCAAAGTCTGCTGTCAGCTAAACAGATACCATCAGGACAAGATCAGTGAATGAAGCATCGGTTTAAATGAGCGCAGACTTCTGTCTGTCAGTAAGGTAAGAAAGCAGGAAAAATGTTATTCATTGCAATTCCTGAGTTCATGCTTAATGGGGCACCACTGCGATAACCGTACGGTTAAAAATGCACTGTCTGTGTTACTAACCTCACCCAGAGGGAGCTAATTTCTCTGGTAGCATCTTCAGCCTAGTTCATACTACAGAGTTTTGCTGGCAGAACTGGAGACAGCCCTGGCCATGGTCCACCCAGCAGCTGGTGGCCTCCCAAAGCTTTATAGCGGAGCCATGTGAAGCTACCAGAAGCAAGTGGACATGTATGTACTCTGGCAGCTTGTGGGGTGGCTTGTCTGCCACCGTAAGTTCTGCGTGCAAAGGCAGCTGAGGAATGACAGAGCCTTGGGCCAGCTGCAAAGCTAAACAAGCCTGAGGTAGCCGAGTTGTGGCACAGCTTTCTCCAGAAAATACATATTCAGGGGCCCAATCCGGTCAGCTGTCTCTCTCACACTACTTGTGTGACAAAGGACTGATAAAGCGTCTGAGTCTGAGCAGACCAATGACATGAATACTCTCCGTTTTATAGCATCTTTCCTCCAAGGCTCCAGAACCCTTTCTTAAGGTAGGTAAGAATTACTCCCGTGATCCAGAGGGAGAAAGAAGGGTCAGATTTCAAGTGCCATCTATTTTTGGCTTCCTTAACAGTTCAGCTCCCATCTTGAGATGACTATTGGTGCAGTCTGATTTCTAAAGATGCAGAGTACCTTTTGACTTCCCTTACCGTTGCCATTGCTCTAAATCTCTGCCACATTGGGCACCCAACACCTGAGGTCACATCTGCAAGTGATGGCCTCCATTCTTTGTCCAAGTCCGCTGAGTGAGGAACTGAACCCAAGACTCCTGCACTAAGCAGAAGATAACAGTACTGCCTCACAGATGCCACTGGGTAGAGAATTTATTCATGCAGCAGTGCAGTATAAGTAAACAAATTTCAGTTGGAAAATGCTTTGTAATAGAAAAGGAGGCTTAATTGTGTAAAACAAGCTGCATAGCAGGGCTAGAACTGCATCAGAGGCTTAGGAAAGGTAAGCTCCTCATCTCTTTTTGAAACCAGAATACTTGCCATCTTCACTGGGATATGCTTCCCTGATCTTCCACCTGCAGCAACTCGGGATTAGAGCTCGGCCTGCCAACTCTGCAGAGCCAAAACGCCAGTGAATATACTGTTTGTAAGCACAGTGACGGAGCTGGTTATTGAGGGTCTCAGTATTCAAGTCCAACAAGGGCTCTTTGTAGAGCAGGGTAAACTCCAGCGTGGATCTGGAAAGAACAAGCTGCTCGAACAAAGGAGAGGCTGTAATGCATGTCCCATCTTTTCTTCGGCAGCAGAGCTGTTCCCATAATGCCTCTGTTTGCTGGCATTTCCCACAGCAGCACCAAGATGGGAGCTTGTGGGAGGAGGAAGCTTCTTGCCCTTTACTTTGAAGAGGTTGCAGCTCTTGGGCTTTTGCAAGGGCAGAGGCCTGACTGGAGTGCTTGGTAGCATCAGTAAACTCAGGGTATATCTGCAACTAAAATCCAAAACAAACCCATCATCAGTGAAGTAAGGACATGTAGTGTTTTCTTTTGCAGTTTCCGTATCTCCACTTACCTGTCATTAGTACATCACTCTAAATTTACAAAATTGGATTCTCATTGCTCAAGCCTCATATTTAATACAGCAAAACAGATGTAAGAAGAGTCAAGTGGCAGATCTGGAAAATGATAGCTTACCTGCCTCGAAACTGAATGCAGAACAAACCCTCAGCTAAGGGGGGCCAGGTTCCCCAGGGCTGGTTCACACACATACCATGTGGACATTAATTTAAATACACTGTGTAAATTTATACCCAGTGAAAGGTGTTGGATCAACAGCCCTGGTGGCAGGAGTCCTTTATCCACATAACAGTCACAGCACAGGCAATCGCAGTTCATGTTCCCTGGCCAAGTTCTTTAATCCCTGGATCACATATCTCTAGCACTGAATGAATAAGTTAATTTTCACAATCCTGGCCTTCCTTTGAGAGCACTAATGAGGGAAAACAATTATAGTGGATGGTTTCCTTAATGCAAACTCCTATCTAATTGGAATTGGATAGATCAAATCATTGTAATGGACATCTACAAAGGGTGTCTGCCAAATGGTAGCAGCATCTTTTAATTTTATTCAAATACATTTATTTTCAGATTACAGAACAAAGTTAAGTTCTGGAGTTTTGCAGGGTCCTGGCCCCAGCCCTTCCAAAACTTGGTAGTGTCAGGGGAGAGGCCGGGGAAGCAAAACTCAACTCACTCTGGAACCGAGTCCACAAACGCAGATGCTTGTTCTTACCTTAAGAGCTTGACCCTTAATATTCTGCAGACTCTTGTCCAGTGGCTTGTCTACCAGAATCACGTGTGGCTTATCAACATATGACACGTATATCACCGTCTGTAACAAGAAGAGTGAGCATCCTCAGGTGGGGCAGATGCTGCACTGTTTTCTCAGATAAAAGCCCCACAGAAGGTGCATGCTGAGTGGGATGCTGTTCCAGGCAAGAGGAGAATATGGAGGAAGGCAGGGCAGAGCAAGCAGGTGGTGAAGGCACAGGGAACTGGAGCAGAGGGAGCAGGAAGAGATGCTGGTAGGAGTGAGGTGATGCAGTTTTATGGCTGAGATGAAGGCACTCAGCTCTCTCAGACTCCTTACAAAACCCTGGCCTAGAGGCTCAGTTTGTGCCACAGAGGAGGTGCAGCATGAATACTGAGAGGGAGAGTGTGAATTTGAATGTGCGACTTAAGCAGCTGATCAGCTGATTGCATTCCTTACCGCTTTTGGTCCTGGCATAGTCTCATACTTCTTCCTGTAGTAATATTCCTTGACAGGTGATTTGCAGCAGGGAAAAATGTTTGAAGTAATAAGAAAATCGATGATGAACACAGCCTGGTGCAAACAAAAACAAGCCGTGATTCAATTTTCTTAATGAGACGTCCTCAGAGTCATTTCCATAAGCACAGGAAATAAATCTCTTACCAAGCCGAAGTAGGAGAGGGTCGACCCAATGTACACCACCAGCTCAATGAAGTCAAATTTTCCAGCCTGGTGCAAAATAGAACTGAGTGATTAGATGTCACCAATGAGGACCATTCCCTTCACACTGCTCTTTGGGCAAAGCAAGGCCTAACACACAACTTGACAGCGCTTCCCTGTCTCTGTACACAATGCACCTGAGCAAGTCCAGCATTTCAGAGAATATTCTAGGTGTGACAGCACAGCACCCTATGGATTTGGGGGGAATCAGAAGAATAGCATTTACTGTGCCAAAGACGAGGATGTCAAAGCGTATTCCATAGGCCTTGATTAGCGTCCGCTCCTCCTTGCCGCTGGCATCCTTGAAGTACTTTGCAAACCTGAAAAACAAGTGAACATCTGGGCAGTTTGAGGGAAGCCCTGCAGTGGGTCCTCTGCCAGCCTGGCACTCTGGGCAGATCTGGCACCAAAGCCCAGGCAGGGTAGAGAGCTGGAGAATAGCTTCCTGCAAGGGAGGATGTGCTCTAAAGGGATCCCAGGGAAGGTACCAGGAGTTTGGGATCACTGGAAGGGGAAGGAATCAGCTCAGGATAAGGGAGTTCCCAGAAGAGAGATAGTACAAGCCTGGGGTCTGTTATCTCCCTGCAACTCCTGCTGCCAGTTCGTGCTATAGATCCTCTGCCAAGAGTGGTACCCAAGGGCAGGTACCGGTGATGGGAGCCCTGTCAGGCCCCATGTTAGGAAGTCCAGGTGGGGGCTGCTGGGGGCAGAGCAGGCACAGAGGTGCAGGGCCTTGTAGAGATGCCTTGGGTATCTATAGGGTGGGCCCTGTGGCCGGTTTCCTGAGGGAAACTGTGGAAACAAATCTCCTAAACTGTCCCTCAGGAGAAGGCAGCCTACCCTTACATCAGGGTGAGCTTAAGACTGAGCAACATGTGAGGCAGGACCACTGGGCTTGGCCCAAGTCAGGCCCCCAAACCTCTTGAGTGTTCAAGCACTGGACTCCAGGGAATATATTTCGTGTTCCAGGTCAAATCAGCCAAATCAGTTCCAACTCCTATCAATTAAGCAGGACTCAATCATTCAGAAAACCATCTTGCTTGAGCAGGCAGAACTCAATCGTTCCAAACGCCATGTAGGGTGCTACAACTGGTGAGCGTCCTCCATCCCAGACCCATCGCCCTGGGACTTCAGATACTCCCAGATCCATTGGCAGGCACCCTATGCACAGACCCAAGCAGGAGAGTGGTTTCTTCCCAGGAGCCTCAGCCCCTTTCGGAAAGGTGCTGCATGCCTTTAACTTCCTGACATGGTGGGTGCCAAGAACTCGCACTCCTCTTCAGAGTGACTAAAGACAAAGTTTCCTTAAGCTTTCCAAGATGTACTTTAACACCTTAATCCTAACAAACCAGCCTCAGCCACCTTTTGCTCCCACCTCGAGGCATTGCTCTTGTGAGCTGAATTCTGTACAGCACTGAAGTGCTTGTAATCTGCCTTGTATTCATCAGCTTTCCTTTCACTAGGATCTACTTTGCAGTGAGTCACTCAGCAATACACAGCATAATGGGCTTTAATTTTCCTTGCTGGGCAGACGTGAAATGTTCTTTCATTTTCCGCAATCCACGGCTGACGCATGTTTTACTGGCCAGGGCTTGGCTAAGTCTCTGATGCCTGCAGCTCTGTGCGATTCTGTTTTGAGGCTGTACCAGCATCTTCTGGATTGGGCAGTTCTTCCCCATGCTACTTGCTATCTCTGGAGGATGATGAAGAAACGTTGGCTCAAAATGCCACAGAAAGTTCCTTCAGCGTAGTGCTCCAGTTGGATGTATAACAGCTTCATGGATGGTCAGATGAAGCAGCTGCACCTTGAACCCTTTGCACTTGGAAGTAAGTCCTGATCCTATTAAATCGGTGGGGTTCCACATTGGTGTAGAGCAGCAGGAAGAAGCAGGCTGCCCAGGCCCAGGAGATAACCCACGCAGAACAACATGCACAGTCCACGCCTCAGGAAACAACTCTGTTTTATCCTGCTACACGTTCCTCCTAAGATCCTCCCCCGCACCCTCTCTCCACTGCGATGAAAGCACCCATGCATCTCATAAAGACCTACGGATCCCCAAACCTACCCAGGAAGGCAAATGATTACTGCTTTTTGAGTTTACCCATTGCCATTAGATTCCACTAGGTAGAGAACATGGTTGTACCATTGCAGTTGTGCTACCCTGTCTTGCCCAAGTCACATCTCTGTCAATGTGTTTACATGTGTGAAGCTTCCCCATGCAAGGGAATTCTCCAGTCTGCTTGGTGGCTTCACATGTTCAGAAGAAAAGAGAGACTTTTGAAGCCAGGTTTGGCTCTCCCCTTCTGTAACAGGAGACCCTACCTCCATTACTAGAGAGCAAGAGAGAGCACAAGGGTCAGAGTGGGAAAAGGGACACTCATCTTTAAGGTGGGCTGCTTGCAGGCTGGAAGGGGCAGCTCCTGGGGATACATAAAGTGAGGAGAGCTGACCAGTCAGGCCCTGGCACTGCCAGGGAAAGGAGCACCTGGAAAAGAGCTGTGTGGTGACTGGACCTGAGACTGTTTAACTGGATAGGCCCAGGAGGGCTGGAGCCAGGGGAAGCCCCAGCACTGAGCAAGCATGTAGTCTGTTCATTATTTGTGGGTTGTTTTGGACCTAGCCAGCCCTGTGGCTGGTGGGTTATGTTGGGGACTAGCCAGCCTGCAAAGCTGGGGAATGGGCAGGGTCCTCTAATTGCAGACCACATACAAGCCTGAGCAGGGATGGCCCAGTGATACGAACACAGGGAAAGGTGCCTAAGTTTGTCCATTTTGACTGAACTGAGGAACTGTTCTTTAATCGATGTGACCATCAAAGCCTGTCCCACATGCCCTGTTGTTTCTTGCCTGCCACAGCAAGCGAGGGCAGGCAAGGGCTGACCGCAGGACCCTGGGACGCTTGGGACCTGCTGCACCTCCACCAGCACAAACCTTGTGGGGGTCCAGAGAAGTCGGTGGAATTATTCCAGATTTATGCTTGTTTCAGTAAGAATAACATTTGGCCCCATAACCTAGCTGGAACTGAACCCTGGCTGAGTTATTTTTGGCACAAAAAATGGAGCTTCCTCCTTGGAGACTGTACACATGCTTAGAAAATAACTGAGACCCAAAGCTGAGAAATTAGATGGATGTTTTGCAAACTCTCCTCCACCCCCTGCTTCTAATTAGCTTTGTCAGACTCTTTTGGGCCAATTTTCTATTAGGATCTAATCAAACTCCCTGTTGCCCATTAACCTTCCCTGCCCTACTTTTTCAGATTACACATCTTTCTGATGTTAAACCTTTCTTTTGGAGGGAAGAGGAGGGAAATTGGGTGCGTGACTTTTTTTTTTCCTTTGTCCATGCTGATTAGCACAGTGCTGGCCAGTCGCAGTGCAAGCTGGCAGTCTGCAGGTTTCCTCCGAGCAGCCTGCCCATGCTTCATCGTCTGAATTGACCATACTGCTGGGGACTGGGGTTTTTTTTCAGCAAAGTTTTCAAACAGCCAAGATAGAGAGCATGCTGCTGGCTAGGTATGACAGTGAATGCCTGTCTCTTACCTGAAGTTGTAACCAGGGTAGTCTTTGGTGGTTTTGTCATCGAGACGACGAAACCTGTACTTCGGACTGCAGTGGTGGGACCATTTGTCCAGGTTACAGTCCCAGTTAATCTCGATACCCATGATTCCACCCTGCAGCCAGAAAAAGGAAATGAGCTCTACAGCATGCTCAGGAACACATGTAGAAGACTGAGCAGGGTCCCGTTCTGCCATTGCTCTGTGCCCCAAACTCCTAGTGAAGTAAAGAGAGATCTGAGGGTGTTACAGTGGCAGGATCACACCCTCAGATGTAGTGCAAGTGTAAATGCATTTCCACATCAAGCCAAGGCTGCTTGTACATGACTCCGAATTCCTGCATGCTAGAACCTAGAGTTCACCCTAGTTCTGGAGGCATCTCCTGGTTTTTTGTGTTTTTTTTCCTCATCCTCTAATTAAAAACAAAATCCTGACTTAGCTCACCCTCTCTGACCATGGTTTGATTAAGTTAAGCCAAAGGCAGCTCAGCTGAAACTTTAATGAACTCTGACAGGAATCCCAAATGCAGATCTGTACCTGAATGTTGAAGTTTTGATGGACTTGCAGCCTGTCTGGACACTGGAACCCAGTAGACGGGGTTTGGTTATTGGTTCTGTGCAAATCACTTTATTTCTCCATAACTCCCTTTCACCCTTCTGTAAATACTGACCTTAGAAACAGGTTGTGAGACTCAGCTGGCTAGTTTGCTACACGTGTTCTGCTTGGGACATTCATAAAATAAGACTTGGTGGAAAAGCACAGGCCAGGATATAAGGCACTATTTCCAGATGAGATTTTGGTAGGTTTTTTCTCCCTAAGACATTACTGAGATGGTGCCCTTTAGCAGAAGTGAGAAAAAAATAGGAGTCCCTGCTTGATTTTGACTTAGGAAGACTATTTAATTAATGAACACAACATGTCGCTCTGTGCTGTAGAGTGCTCAATGCTATGAGGTTCTGGTCTACAACTGGGTGCTATGGTAATACAAATTGGTAATTACAGTTCAATCAATGTAGGTCTAATCCTGGAAGACACTGAGCATTCTCAAGTCTCACTAAGTCCAGGGATAGTTGGGGGCACTCTGAACCTTGCTGGATCAAGCTCTAACTGGAACACGTCTGTTACGAGAAGTAATGCAATATATTAATGAGGAAATAAAAGAGCAATAGTGCAGAGGAATTCTAGCAGTGATCATGAAACCAAATGAGTGCCTCAAACCTGAACTGCCATGTCTGAAAAATTCTCTCCTGTTGCTTGGAGAATATCTCCCAGCCGGAAAATGGGACAGGTGGGTGCAGTAATCTTGTTGAATGTGCATGTAATATTGAATTTTGGTAAAATATTATTTCTGCAGAGAACAAAAAAATATTTGAAAGGGTAAATTAAAGTTCTTCTCTGAAAAGCATCTATAAATGCAGCTATGTTCACTCAATTTACAAATAAATTGAGGCTTTCTTTTCTTATAGCTACCAGCTCTACAGACACCAACAGGGGCCTGAGAGCTGAGCTGGTTCCTTGACTCATTGGGCATTACCACCAGCAAGACTTTGCAACTCAGATGTATTATGTCCTAAATGATACTTATGATCCTAACCCTTCAGGGGTTTTACTGAGGCAAAATCCATGAGAATTTACAAGCAAGTCTGTTGCTGATGCATGAGACGAAATAGAGTCAGTCTCACCCTCCTAAAACTGTGTTGGCTTAGAAAGAACTAACAATAGTAAAAAACAGTAAAAATAATCATTTTTTCTGCCAGGTACATTCACCCCTGAATACACAAATCTGTTGAGTTAGACAAGCCATTTTTATGTAATCCTTTTTGGGAGAATTGCTTCTCCAGAAGTGATGAAGTAACGTTTTTACTTACGCAGTATAATTAAATTTTGGAAAGTGGATGTTGTTCTTTATTAGTACCGTGAAGTTTTCAGCACTCCTTAGAAGGGCAGGCCTAAGAGAAGAACATATTTATAAATTTGTAACGCAAGCTATTAAACCAGCTATCTTCCTGGAGTTAAATAGCTCCATTTATGCCACACTACTTTACTATTACCTGGAAAATTATAAGTAGGAGGAATATGACACTGAAAATAATGAGTTGTAGACCCAGGAATTGGATGGCTTGGGGGACTGGGAATGGAAAACCTGGCTTTCTTAACTGCAGCTGTGTCTTTGGGGCAAGCATTATCTTCTCACATTTGCTTGTATGGCATGTACATTATGGGGCTGGATTCTGATCGAGATGCCTAGATACTACTCTAATAACAAGAGCAGATTGCCACAGCAAATCTTGCCATACAGGAGCAACAACCAGTGGTGCCAGCCAGGTCACTTCTATGCATTTTTGCCTACAGAAACTGGTATGCCTTGACCAGTCTAGACCTAGGGGCCACCTTAGGTTGCATTACCCTTGACCATGACCTTTAATTTGAATTGGGCAGGGTGTGTCAGGCAATTCCTATTAAGAGCTGAAAGAGCTCAGCTGAAGGACGAGCTGTAGGAAAAATAAGTTGTGGTGGAAGGCTTTATAGCAAGGGTACACGTACAGGAACAAAGGCCTCTGTGGGTTCTGCAGGAGATCCTGAGTCAGGTGAAAAAAGGAACCCTTTTTGAACAATGCTGTTGTGCTTACCCTGAAAAAAAGTCTGACAGATTTTTGCCTGTAGTATTCCTGCTTCCAGCCTTGCAGAAACAGACCAACCGCTCACAGGAACAAAATTATACTGTGCTTTAAACTGGCACAGCTCCATTCAAGTCAAAGTTGCTGCACCAGTTCTCACGTGCAGGGAATTTGTCCTGTATATCCAGCAGTGAGGTCAAGTTTAATATAACAGATGATTGAACTAGTTTCTTGTGTACGTACGTCAAATGCTGCTACTTAACAGGGACTAATGGAATAATATATCCTTAGATCTTAAGTAGAGTGCTCATCTTATTAATTAATTAATTTACTTTTTCTGATACAGATGAGTGACTTCACGTTTAAGTGGAACTTTTGAATCTGAAATATTTTATAATTGTGGGATCAGAGCAGTTAGAGATGGGGAAACAATTAAATTAAAAGGTCCCATTTATAGTCTACTTCTGGGCTCAAGGAAGAGTTATTTTCTCCAGTATATTTTTGTGAGTTTTGTCAAATTTTACGTTACCAACACTAGGGCATTTTACTGCTTCCCCTGGGACACTGTTACAGTCAGAATTTAAAAGAATTTCCCACTTATACAACTAATGAGACCCATATTGTGTTTTTCCTCAACATATTTATAAATTATCAAAATGCTGCTACCAAAATAATGATTTATGGACCTGTCTTTTATGAAAGAGAAGATGTTAAAAGATAACTGTCAATAATTTCTAACAATAATAATAAGGGCTAGAAAGGAAACTGCTGTTTTACAAGGTGCATTTCCAGTGGCCCACTAGGAGGGGCTGAGAAACCTCAGCTCTCACTGCTTTGCAGGATCATACCCTTAATTACTAAATAAACAGGCAATACGCCTCTTACTTACACTGGGGCACCTTTTACTGATTCCACAGGGCACCAGGCAGAGACTTCACAGGTCTTAATAGTTGCATTATACTGTACACACTTTCCTGTCTGAATTCCTGTACAGAAGGGGAAAAGGAGTTGTTCAATTGGCATGTGAAGCAGCACTTTTCTGCTACATGCCGTGCCATTTTGCACATGCTAGCTCCTGAGCCAGATCTAATGTAGCTGTGTTCACGTGGTGCTATAGTTCTGCAAGACAGTGTTGATCAGCCCACCCACAGCGCTGCCCTGAGGCACCCAACTACCACCTCTTTGGAGGGTTGTGTGCAGAGCTATAGCACAGTGCTGCCCAGCTGAACAAGAGTGGTACAGACATACCTGAAATGATTGTTCCTCTGCCAGGCTGAAAGCAAAGCTGCATTGTATCAGTAAGGCTGATTCAATGCCCATAAGAACTCCTATTTTGATGATGAAGCCAATAATGTTTTAGGTACCCGTTAGCATTTTACCAGAGCTGCACCACCGTTCTGTCTGTAGAAACAAGGTCTTGTGCAGCCTGCAACTATCAACAGTGCAGTAGAAGGGGGAAGCCAGAAACGAGTTTCAATCTGAATATGGGACCCACGTACCATTGCTCAGGGAATCTGTACGCCCTTGTACACAGTGCCTGTCTGAAGAGCAGATATATTTGGCAATAGGGTACTGAAAAAAAAATCAACATAAAAGACAGTTATTTATAAATATTTCCTCCCTCCCCCCACAATAAACTGATATAATCGGTTTGCCTCTCCATGCCCACAGAGACATGAGCACAAGGGGAAGAGCTAGACCAGGAATTAAGTCAGCTCACGGAGGTCATTAGGTCAAAGGACATGGTCATCGTGGGTGACCTGAACTTTCCAGACATCTGCTGGGAAGAGCAGCCAGCCGGGTCTGACTGCTCACGTAGGTTCCTAGCCTTGTTGGACCTGGTGCTGGCCACGGGAGACAACTTGGTGAAGGGGCTGCAGGTGCTCGACCACCTGGGTGACAGCAATCATCACCTGCTGGGATTCACCATCCAGCGAAGGTGGCAAAGGCCTGCAGCAAGGCAGCAGCCCTAGATTTCAGGAGGGTGGACTTCAATGAGCTAAGGAGAATAGTTGGGGAAGCACTGAGGTCCCAGAGGGGAGGGGAGCCAGGTGTGTCGCTCCTTAAGGAGACGATCCTCCAAGCCCAAAGGGAGGTAATCCCAACACGGATCAAAGGGGGCAGGAGGGCACAAAAGCCCCCATGGCTCACCAAAAGCATCCGGGAATGTCTCCTAGCTAAAAGGGAGGCGCACACCCGATGGCAGGGAGGGGCCATCACCAGGGATGACTACACTGCGGTGGCTCGGGGATGCAGGGTGGGGGTCAGGAAGGCCAAGGCAGAGATGGGACTGGGACAAGTGACCCGGATCAAGGACAACAAGAAGTCCTTTTTTAAATACATAGGGGGCAAAAAGAAGGTACTGGGTAACGTGGGGCCCCTGCAAGACACGCTAGGAAATTTGGTCGTCACACCAGACAACAGAGCTAACATATTTAATGACTTCTCTGCCTCCATTTTCCTGAGCAGGGACCAGGTCACCCCCCCCGCTGGGCCCTCCTCAGGCCCCGGGGAGGTGCACCCAGGCCGTGGGTCAGGAAGGATGTATTTAGGGAACGTCTGGAGGGGCAGGACATATTCAAATCAGCTGGTCCGGATGATCTCCACCCCCGAGTGCTGAGGGAATTAGCTGAGGTCATTGCAGGACCCCCAGTATGGCTGTACAAGCACTCGTGGTGCTCTGGTGTGGTGCCAGAGGACTGGGAGAGGGCCAATGTAGTTCCCATCTTCAAAAAGGGAGGAAGGAGGACCCGGGGAAATATAGGCCAGTCAGTCTTACCTCGATCCTGGGTAAGCTTTTTGAGAGA